GAGTGTGGAGAAATACTCATCTCACAGCTTCCTTGCTGGAGCCGCCACAACAGCCGCCGAAGCCAACCTTCCCGACTGGCTCATCAAGACCCCTGGACGATGACGCAGTGACTCATATCAGCTCTACATTAAGACTCCATCATGCAGTGCCAACGATCCTCGCCAACCACACCGAGCTTCGGAACTAAGCCAACCAATTCACGATGTTTTTCGAACAATGCTATTAAGACAATTTATCCTTTTGCTGACTTGTATTTCACTTGCAATCCGCACTAGTCATTTTTACATTTCCCATCGTCTCTGATCAACATTGTATACAGATCTTTCGTTTCAATTGTTCACTCGCAATTTTTATTCGTAATTTTGTAATTTGACTACATTGTAATCCCTGCTCTGTAACCATGTGCTCTTGTCCCATGCAGCCGCTCCACATTCTAGAACAAGCAATGCCTTGCCTCACCAAATCATGCAAATTGTTCAATTCCACCACCTCCTCTTTAATTTGGTGGAAATGCCACACAGAGCATGCTGGCTCTGGTCAGGTACGACGTTGCCCTTACCATGACATGAGTCAAATATATCTTGGTCTCCTGTCATGGGGTCGGCCGCTATGACGCCTGATGCAGAGCCACTGTGTAAGCAGGTGTTACTCGGGTAGCATGCGTCGCCACCTCATAATGACACTCAGTGGTTTTGAGGGTCACTATGAGGTGACACGTGACGACGCCTAGTGTGACATTCACTTCCCCCACTTCAAACGACAATCCTGTCTCATGTGTTGTTTTTTAGCATTTATTGTTTGGATATTAAAGGCACTGATATATTCAGTGTTAATGCTAAAAAACGACCTTGGCACACCCTCACATTAATCCTCAATTCGACATCTCCCGCCTGTCCATCAGGTTTAAATTCACTGGCTTAACCCTTAGCATTTAACCTGGGCTTGTGTCATTTGCTCAACCATTCACACCTCAGTGCATAACTAGCCCATGCTTTCTTTGTCCAAACACACTATCTCGCTGCCTCCCTGTATGCAACTTCGTCTCCCGCAATTAGCAAACCAACCACCCACCCTCCATCTTTATATCAATATGTAACTTTGATCTTTTGTTATTTTATTTTCAATAAATACAGTGTAGGGAAAATGCCGCACAGAGCATGGTGGCTCTGTTCATGTAAGACGTTGCCCTTACCATGACAGGAGACAAATATATCTCGGTCTCCTGTCATGG